ATATATATATATATATAATAAGTATAACTTGTTAACTACTATCTTCAATGGTTACATGATTCTTTACTAATTTCATCATATCCTCCTCTTTTTCATTTATTTTGAGATTCAAATCTCATTAAAATATTTTTTTTTCATTTCTATTATGACAATTATGCGATAACTTTTAATTTTATTACATATAAATTTTTACATTGAAAAATGTATGGTCCAATTTTTTTTATTAATTGATTTTCTTTCCTATCGAGTTCAAATTCACCCTATCAGTACCAAATACCATGTGTCACGAGCCTTAAAGTAGATCTTATAATATTAATCATATAAAAAAAAGTAGCAAACTACATACTTACAAAACCTATATACCCTCAGCACCAGTGGCAAACACACAGTGTATTACAGCGTACAAACTCTCTCGATTAGAAAAAATTGTTATAAATATATAAATTTTTTGTTTTGTGTCCTATGTATTTGAATCCATATTCTTAAACACTATTTTCAGTGATGGATATTTTGTATAAATATTATAATTATCTAAAAAAATATACTTAATTTTGTACTCATTATAAATAGATATTTAAAAATTGTTTTTCTTCTTAATTTTATATATTTAAACTTGCAACATTTAATACTTCCAATACTCTTAATTCTAGATTGACCACTCAGAAGGGACTCCCAAACAAACCATTTTTACCTAGTTCTCACATTTTTATCTCCACATATCCCTTTTTTTTTCTTCTAGAGTAAACTATTCATATTTTTGCTTCATAAGTTAATTGAGATTTAAGATTTGGATGTATTTTTATATGTCTAAAAAATTTAACATCATTTAAAAATTAAGATTAAGGGTAGTTTATAAGCATCTTCCCTCTTTAATTTACTAAGACATCATTTCAAGGACAAAATCGTGACCGACCAACAAGCGTCAAAATTAATGAACAATATTTCAGATGTGATTACGATGAAAGTCAACTTATGAACTTGTTTTGATATGCCTAAAAAAATCATACATCACTTAAGAATCGAGATTAAAAATGTATAATACTATAATTGAAAGATAATTATTTACTATTAAAGTGTACTAAGATGAAAAGTGTATTAAAATGAAAATCAGTTTTCCTCCTATAAAACAACAAGAGTGTAAAATTTATATTTTAATTAGTACCATTATCATACATTGCACTTAAAGAGACAATAAACATGTTGGAATCATACGGATTATTTCCCTATCTTTATATGATGTGGCTTTGTACAAAATCCAGCTTATTAGCAGCCAAAGGCAAATAGACAAATTGACAATAAACTAATCTCCATGCATGTACAGTACAGCTACTTGGATTGATAAAGTTTAGGGATCTTAATTTATTTCTAAGAAGCTAAAGAATATTCCCTCCACCAAGGCTATTCTTATAACTAGTTAGATATCCCTTAAAAATGAAAGTCAACCCTCAAAGATAACAATCTAAGCAAAGCAAAGATGAGTCTCAAAGTGGATGATGAGTTCGTGTCTGAAATGGAGGAAGAACACACTCTAGCTCCATCTATACCAGTCCCCAGTGTTCAAGAAATGGTAAGGAATAATCCTTTGGAGGTTCCTCAAAGATATGTGAGGAGTGAAGAAGAACTGGAGAAGGTCAACCATATGCCTCATCTTTCACCTCAGATCCCTGTCATTGATTTAGCACTTCTCTCGCATGGGAACACGGATGAGTTGTTGAAGTTGGACGTAGCATGCAAGGAGTGGGGTTTCTTTCAGGTAATTCCTTACCAACATAATTATGAATTACATGCAGAAAAAAAAATAGGATTACCTCTATCCTTAATTATAAGAGTGTTTCAATTAAATTATGAAAATTAGTTAATTTTGTAAGAAGATTAAATTTGTCAATAATTTAATCTACTTTTTCAAAATTAACTTTCTCTTTTTAGTTAATCATTTTTCACCTAATTAGATAATGCTTAGAAAAAAAATATATGTATCTATTTATCTTCTTCAATCCTAATAAGAAAAAGTTTTTATCTAATTAATTTCAAGTATTTATTATTTTTTGTGTAAAAGAAATTATTAATTAAATAAGAATATTTTACAGAAAATATAAAATAGAAGATGTTCTTATAAAAAAATAATAAAAAAATAAAAAATATCTTATATATAGATAAAAAAAAAAATACTGTATCAAAAATATACACAAAGAAAAAGAGTACTTATAAAACAACATAAAAAAAAAAAAAAAAAAAAAAGATTAAAATACTTTTATAATTTTTATAATTTCACTTATTTTTTCTCTTTTAGTCCCTATAATTTTAAATATACATACTGCTAAATAGGTGCATAGCACAACTACTAAATCATTACAAACATACTCTTAAGCTTTTAGTACAAACTTATAATTGATACGTAAGATAGTATCAGAGTAGTCTTTGATGATCAAGTGGTCTAGAGTTTGATCCCAGTCACTAAAGGTGGATTTTCAACACAAGCTGGTGAGTGAGATAGTTCAACACAAGTTAGGAATATAATATAAATCATCTCATGTATCTTTACCTAAATAACTTGAGCTTTTGAGATAGTTCATGACATTGACATCCTTGTGAAAGTTAGATGTTTGCTTGGTTTTCATCAAATGCTTCTTGAGATTGCAATTACTTTTGCAGATAGTAAATCATGGCATCCAAAAAGAACTTTTGCATAGAATGAAGGATGCATCGGCAGAGTTTTTCAAACTTCCAATAGAAGAAAAGGACAAGTATGCAATGCCCTCAAACGACATACAAGGTTATGGTCACGCTTATGTGGTTTCTGAGGAGCAGACACTTGACTGGTCAGATATATTGATGTTTGTCACATACCCCAACCGGTACAGGAAGCTTCAATATTGGCCTAAAACTCCAGAGGGATTCAAGTAGGTACTCCAAAGTCCTAACAACTAAAACCTAAATACACTACTCTTGTTTAGTTAATGAAATTCATCTACTAATGTAGGGAGATCATAGAGGCATATGCAAGTGAAATTAGGCGAGTTGGTGAGGAACTGCTTAGTTCATTGTCAGTGATTATGGGGATGCAGAAACATGTTCTTCTTGAACTGCAAAAAGAATCACTTCAAGGTATCCGTGTGAACTATTACCCTCCTTGCAGCACACCTGAGAAAGTGTTGGGTTTGAGTCCACACTCTGACTCAAGCACTATCACTTTGCTTATGCAAGATGATGATGTACCTGGGTTAGAAATTCGACACGAAGGAGGATGGGTGCCAGTGACTCCAATATCAGATGCTTTAGTTATCAATGTTGGAGATGTAATTGAGGTACTTGAATTATATTTTTTTCAAAGAGAACGCCAGAAATAAAGGCCAATTTAAACTAAGAAAGTAGTATCAAAATATAAAGTCGCTTAATTATTCACACCTTAAATTTTACTCCTTTTGCAATCATGACAGATATGGAGTAATGGCAAATACAAGAGTGTAGAACACAGAGCAGTGACAAATATGAACAAGACAAGGACTTCTTATGCATTTTTTGTGTGCCCACAGGAGGATGTGGAAGTTGAACCTCTTGATCATATCATAGATGCTCAAAACCCCATGTTGTACCAGAAAGTCAAGTATGGAGATTATTTGAGACAATGCATGACGAGGAAAATGGACGGAAAAGCACACACAGATGTGGCAAAGATAAAGGATTCTGACACAAGGAACAAAGATGATTGAGAAAAGAAAAGGTGCAGTGAGAGAAAATGAAAAGAGAAAAAAGTTTAAAAGTATTCCCTTATGCTAATTTTGCAAGTGTCAATTTAGTTTGTACCTTGTATAATGATTAATAAATATCATATACGTCAACCGTGGTAGAGTTTCTACTCTCTAATCTCTACTTAGTGAAAGTCCTTTTCGCTGAAATTTATAAATTATTTTGAGCTAACTTTGTAATCTCTGTTGTTTTTAATTTTGCAAAGTCTGCACTCTTCTTCTCGGTTTTTTTTTTAATCTGAGAAGCATGTTACTTTGCATTATGAGTCAAATTTATATCCCAACTTGAGTCCTTTGGTTAAAAATGGAGCTAAAATTCAAAACACTTATGTATCCATTTTCAAATTCAAAAACAAATTATTTATGAATTTGGTTTTTAAATAAATTAAAAATAAAACTTACTACATTTTACAATAGTCTTTCTTGTCATTATTTTATTTTTATCATCATTATTGACATCATCACTAGGATGGACATGTTTATTATTATTGTTGTCATTATTATCTATAAAAGTATGAAAAAAAAACTAAATCAAAACAAATTAGTCCAAAACTAAATTGACCAAATTATAAAAATCAAATTGTTTTGAGGAAAAAAATTAAACTCAACCACTTTGTAAAAATAGTTTGGTTAACCAAATTGTTTTCATAAAGTGACTTAGCTTGATTTTCTAAAAAAAACCAAATTATACATTAATATAAAGTGGATAACTAAATTGAAGCATTTCAAAATAATCATTTAAAAAAATCTAATAATGTTTCCATGCCTTGTATGGATATATATTGTTGGAAAAACAATTCAAAATTTTAAATTCAAATCTCTAAAATATTATTTAAAATTTAAAAGATATTGATTCTTTTAGGATATTGTTTATAATTGAAATATATTGTATTTATTTTAGAGATTTATTTTCTCTTTTAAGATTGTGATATAAAGTCAATAAATAGAGACTCTTGATACGAAAAGAATCACCTAACCTATAGAGGGGGGTCACCACCTTAAATGAGAGAGGAGGTCATATGAAGGAGGGTTTTCAAATTTCGTCAAAAAACTTGTGAATGAGGATTTTCAAGTTTTGCTTGAAAACTTGTGTGGAAGGGATTTTCAAGTTTACCCATAAAATTTGTGAGGAAGGGGTTTTCATGTTTAACCCACAAAACTTGAAGGGAGGATTTTCAAGAGATATGTAATACATTTTGAGATAAATAATGAATATCCTTGTAGACGACAAAGACATGAGAGGCTGAACCATGTTAAATAAATTTGTGTGATCTTTTCTTATTTTATTTATGGTATTATTTTAATATGTTTCTCATCACTATTATTGTGTAAAAAAAAAGACTTTTTTGTTCCCAACATATATATATATAT